CTTGCAGTCACTAATTGATGAAAGTGTAACTGCCATGTTCCCAGTTGTGGTGGAACATATTCACAAGTTTGCTCAGGTTAGTTCCTTCAATTTACTATAAGTTTTCATTGACAATTTTCCTAACAGTGTTTCTTAGACCATTGGCAAGTTAGCAACATGTGTTCTTAATTTTCATGTCATGATATATTTTGTTGTTATCAGTTTCCTTTAGTCTTTTGTGTGTGTATCTTCATAGATCATCACCTAGACTTTAGTTGTGGATTGATCAGCAAGATGTTTTTACTTTAATCTGTACTGATCAGTTCCCCAGAAGTACATTATTGATGTCTTTGGCATAGATTCTCTAATTAAAGAATACACTCCTGTACTTAGATGTAGCCTCTATAAATTCATTTGCAGTATTGGAGAAAATGAAGTTGGATTACTTGTGTAAGCAGATGGTAGATGACACTCAAACTTTGACTGTGTTATTCAAGTACATTCAGCCACTGGTCCAGAGCAAGAAATAATTGGAAGAGTAAAACTTTTGGGGATATGAAACAGACTATAAATCTAGCATACCTTCATTGTTATGCATTTCATAAACATTTAGTTTATAATGATAAAACAATATATTTTATTAAGAATAGCATCCATGAAAGTGTCTTTTGTTGTGCCATACATGTATTAGCTCTGTTTTTGTTCAATTTATTAATTCACCCAGAGATTAATTGTTAACTGAATTCTCCATCTCAGCACCTTACAAAATGTGTGGAGAACAGTTTAGAGAATATGCATACTTTGTGACTAGTATCTAATTTCTCCTTACAATATCACCCCCCTGCCCATCATGGTTTTGCCCAGGTTACTGAGTTCTTTTAAAAATGGTCATGCACTTAACACATTTTGAAGTGAGTATCTGTGAACTAGGTTGTAGTTTGAAATTCATGCACAATATTTGGATTGCTTAAAGAGTAAATAAATACCTTTTCTATATGATCAGTACTGTCTTGTATGTCACCTATGTAATTTGTAAGAGACTTGTTATTTTTATAACCTCAGCAACCTCCACTGGTTTCCCCAAGTCAAATCTTAAATCCATCTTTTGATACACTCATGCAAAGCTGTTGCAAATCCCTTGTCCTCAACAGAGAGAAATTGCGAGAGATATGGAGAAAAAAAACAGACAAATATATCCTGCAGTGTGAGTGTTTTTTGTGAAGAAATGCTTTTTTGTGTAGTGTGTGGCCACCATTGTTGACTCTCAAAGCTGAAGGGGGTTGGGGAAAGGAAGGAATTTTCATTTAGGGGGGCTGATGGACAAAAGTAAGGATGAATGAGGAAAACAAAGGTATGCTGTATTTACACCTCACTTTATTTTCAGTATTTGCAACTTCAGGTATAAGAATTACATAATGTTTCCTAAAACACCTACTGTTAATAACACATATTTACAGTGCTGAAATGTAATCATGAAGATCTTTGGTCATTTCAGAGTTTACTACATTATGTTCTTTATCAAGTTGAGAGAAGAACTGACTGCTGAGTTGTTTTCTATGCAGTATTCAGCTGCCTGTAAAACAACAACAAAAATGACAATTACAGTGACAGAAAAACTATAGACATCCAAGCCCCTTATTCCTTTCACTCTCAAGATCTCATATATTTAGTAATTCTCCTTACTGTCTGCCATACAATTCTTGACATGTTAGTTTGAAGAAATGAACTATTGGATCAACCAATAATCCCCTTACTGACATTTTGCTTTAATCTCATCACATGTCTGTTTGATATTGCATGGGTATTGTAAGAAGAAATTCTGTCTTGGTCTCTCATGGGAGTTAAAGGTTTATTGCCTCTGAAATCACTCCAGTGTTGTTGGAACTAATTTCTCATCACTTGTCTGCTGTAAATTGTATTGATATTATACCCAGATAAATTATGTCTTGCTTTCTAATGGGAAGTGAAAAAAGGCACAAGGTCCTGAAGCATTTTTACCTCTCCAAAGTCATTTGTCTTTTCATTTATACGTCTTTCACTCTCCTGTAATTTTTCTCGCTTTGGTAAAACTTCATCCTTTAGCTTTTCATTTTCATTTTCAACCTAAAAATATAGTAAGAATTTCAAATTTGTTTTCAATTTGTACCCTTTGACTGTGTGTTTGTATGGGGGGAAGGGGGGGTGTGTTTATGTGGGGGAAAGGGCTCACTTCAATCTCAGTGAAAATTCACTTTTTGAACAAACTTTAAAGTTATGGTTTCAACCAAAGCCCTCCTAGCAAAGGTAAAGAGCCAGAATGGTCTAAAATTTCAAACATGCAGACACTCTCAGTCACTTCCAAATGACAATTGTTTTCAAACTTAAGCTTTTTGCTGAGTTTTCTGGATTAGAGAAACCCAGTGAAAGTAGATTGTTAGAGGTCACATCTCTTGCTTGGGAGTGCAACCTATAAGAGTGAATGTGCCATGCTTGAAACAAAGAGTATAAGAATGATACCTGTTGATTCCTTTTCCTTACCTGTTGAAGGATATGCTTCAGCTGCTCTTTGTAGGCTAACTTGACTTGCATGACATGATCAATAACATCTTTGTCTGGGTTTCCTGAGGGCCTCCTGTATATCATGTAAATTTGCACGCATTTTAACAATAAAATACAACTATTCACAGCCCTTTAAGCTGCAATTGTTTTAATGCTCAAAGAAAAAGGATTACCATGCAGGTTGTGAATCTTCTGTATTAGAGGCTGCCACAATACGATCAAGCTCATTAAAGAAATGTACCAGATCTTCCTGTTTAATCATCAAATCGATTTCTTTCTGAAAAAAAATTCAGAGGGCAAACATTAAATGTGTAAGGAATTACCCTTACGTGTACACGTCCACGTACACTTTTATTGGCCTACTTAATACCTTTACTCCCACGCAGATTAAAAGATCGTAATAACAATCAAGAGAGAGAGAATGAAGAAATTCTGGTGACTGGAAGCAGAAACGATTTACCGCAAAGTTGCTTGGACCAAGTTACAAATCAGTTTAATATGATTTCCGTCTATTGCTCAGCTGAGAAACATCTCTTATTTGAAGTGAGCTAAAATACTAGTATTAAAACCTTCAGAATTGTTTTAAACATCTTGAATCACAGGTTTGATTTAATGCAGCACATAATATAAAATGATGTTAAACATCTCAACGAAATCAGTTCGACTGATCACTTCTCATTTCAGGTTTATGCATATTTGGGAGATGTGGAACAGTTTGTTTGCATCCGTCCAGTTGATTATTTGACCGAGATTGATAAATTTTTCACCTTTTCTTTTTTTCGAAATCTGGTGGTCACCCACTGGCAACTTTTGTAAACATTTTTAGCCCCCAGACATACACATGGCAACAGGGTATGTAAAAGAAAGTGGGACAAAGTATCTTTAAGTGGACAGTTTTTAGGGGCAGGTTCTGTAATAAAAGCAATAATGATGATAATTAAGGATTTCTATGGTGCCATATCCGTTAGCTCATGGGACTTTACAAAACTTTGTGGGAGACTTTGGCCAGACTGCATTGAGCAGTTTACAATTTTTTAAGGGAAGTTTTGCGGATGCTTCCAATTTCAGAATCAAGGACAGACCACAATAACTAGAGCTATGTTACCTAATTTTTGCAATAAGTTTGTTGTTCTTTAATGTCCCCTGCTAACTAGTACTGAGAAGATGAAGGAGAAAGGGCCTATGATTTTTCATCCTTATCCAAGAGGAATAGGATGTAATCATTTGCAGATTTCAAAGCAAAGGAAGCACATTCTCCCCAGTTACTTTGAGACCCTGACTATGGGTACAGGCAGGGCTTGAACCTTTTACCTCCCACACAGCAGTCCAGTGCTCTATAACATGAGCTTACCAAGCAGCGATTGGTGGCAATGGTCCTTTAAGCTATCCACCTCCATCTAAATCGTCTTGTGGTGGAGTTGGAGGTAAGAACCTCTCAGAGAGGACATGAATCAAATAACTACCTGAATTAAGTTTTATTTACCCACAGCATGTGCCAAGTATGCGCACTGATTAGTACATATGATATAAAGGGCTCCACAAAATTTAAATCCCAAAAAATATACCTCGATGTTATTCTGCAGATGCTCCATCAGTTGTTCCGTGATACTCTTAAACTCAGCTGGGTTTCTATCTCTCATTGCAGAGAAGCAGTTGGCAAACTTTTCCTGACTACAAAAACATCGATCAAAAATAGAACTGGCTTGATTTTATAAAGTGACTGGAAGAATCATGCAATTTTGATGTAAGCTACTGGATTTTTATTTTCCTCTGACTTTCTCAAGGATTATCATACCGGCAAACTTTTATTTGAAGCTTCAGATATGAAACGACTGCGGATGGAACGCGCTGATCGGTTATAATGATTTTAAAGAGGGTAAGTTTCTAAAGAAACAGTGGTGCTGCGTCAGTGGGTGAGAATAGCTGGGATTCGTTCTGACAAAGAGCTTACGATCGAAACGTCAGCTTTGAAACTCTTTACGTTTATCAGATCAGTTGATAATGACAAATTACCCCATGATGATCATACTTTTTGCATTTCAGCTCACCTTCCAGCAGCCATAATTTTGTCCAAACATTTCTTCATCACTTTCCTAAAGAGCATCATGCGTCTTCCCTCGCTTTCCTCCTGCTTTTCAAACGATAAGCTGTCTTTTTCGGACAAGGAATTTGATTCCAAACTTTCTCCAATCATACTTGCCGCCATTTTGAAACTTAGCGCATTGTTTTCTCTACCCAGGAGCGCTCTATCCTATTTATCAATTACCCTAGTGGAGTAGTGAGGGGATTGCGAAAAATCGAGAATGTCATATTTTCTTCTGAGTTTCTTCACGCGATTTAGTCGCTAGAGTTGTTTAATCTCAATAAAATGAGTATTTATTCTCTTTTAAAGACAACAAGAAGGAGAGGGAGAATATTTCGTATCGTACCGTGTCGAATATGTTGAAAGCCCTACCCTAGCCAGGTTATATTTTGCGTTAGTGCTTGTAGCAATAAGACACCATCGCAACTTTGGTCTGGTGTAGAGTTATTGGTGACCTGTGAAGGCACTGAAGTAATTTCTTCCTTTTGAGGTAAACCCACGATAGTAAATAGGAGGGATTTAAGTGAAGAAAATTATGTATTTATACCTGTTCTTATTATTTATATTTCTTTTCAAGTATGTGAGCCTGTTGCATAATTTGAAAGTCTCTGCGCGACACTACGTACCAAAGGCTTTTTGAAAGCATATTTTATTTTAGGCGGTAGGCGGTCTAGATTGTGTCCTATGAACAGATATTAGTGCTATGCTGGTGCAAATGTCTGTGATGGCTTTGTAGAGTTCGCAGTGCTTTGTATATATGTATATATCTAAACTATTTGGTGTTATATACAGCTTTTGCAGCGGCTTCAAAAAGGTGATGATAAATCCACTAATCTACGTCGCTTTCCACCGCAGACGTGTCTCGGCATTTTGCTATGGCGAATCAAGGGCTGCTTTCTTGTTTAAATCAACAGCTCATTACTGCTTTTTCCAATCTGTAGACCCCTTTGATGCTTTGTGTCATTGCATAACACTTTGCCTCGCCATTACTGGAAAAAAAAAAATGACCCCTCCCCCATTCCCACCCATCACTAAACCTTCACAAAAAATTTGAACTGACAGCAGGGTGAAAATTCCTTATTTCCAATCCTGACTGCTGACCAATATCAGGGTGTAACCTCTGTCTTGAATTCTGTGAAAAAATGTACATTATTGTTAAGCATTTTTGTATTTTTCTCCTGCCTCTTACCTTCATCAAGTTTCCATTAGTGGTCTTTTCCCCTTTTCATTTCTCTTACTCCTCTACACACCCTCTATTTTCTAATGTTCCTACAGTGTATATCCTCTTCTCTTCCACTGAATATATGCTCTGATTGTAACAGTGGTCTGGTGTCAGTCAAAATGACTGACATCTCAACAACTTGAACTGGAATTATCACCAGGGTTAACTGTGAGGACCAATATTTTGCCAGCCACTAGTTATTGATCATACAGACAGATTGTCTTAGTGAATGATGTCTTTAGGGACTTTTGTCCTCTGATGTGACTGATCTTTCAACAAATAAATAGAGGGGGTAAGTTTCAAAAGAAACTTTGGTGCTGCATTGGTGGGAGAGTATAACAAGGTACCATTTATTTGGTATTTATCAACTGAGGTGATAAAGAGTTTCAAAGCTGAAGTTTCGAGCATCAGCCCTTCGTAAGAGAAAAGGGCTACCACTCAAAATCTTGGCTTTGAAACTGACAAAGCTGACATTTGGAGCTAGCAAATGGCTAACCCTTGAAACTTCAGCTTTGAAACTCTTAATGTTGGCCAATTTAGGTTATCAACTGTGTTGATAATACCAAATTATCTTGATCTTTCAACACCCTGATTGGAAGACATGGCTAAATTCAAGAATTAACACACTGAATTCCTTGTTTCTTTTTTTCAGCTTTGTATTTTGTGTGGACTCTATTAAGTTGTGGACAACATTGAGTGAATGTTAGGAATCCTCGTGAGAAGCCTTGGAAGACAACTTATTATGCTGAAGCATGAAAAAGGGAAAGTAATTTTTTATTCAATAGCAAAAACTGCGACAACAGAAGCCAAACACCACCCTACCCTTGTTCCAATTCATGGTATTGTTTTTGATTTGGATGGCACCCTTACTTTGCCTGTGTTGGACTTTGCCAAACTTCGTAAGGAGCTTCAGTGCCCTAAAGGTGTTGATATTTTGGAATTTTGTAATTCAAAAATTGGACAGGAAAAGGAAGCTGCTCTTGAAATTGTAGTTAAATTTGAAGAGGAAGGAAGACAAAATACCAAGCTACAACCAGGAGTGTTTGAACTACTTAAATTTTTGTCTGCAAGCGGATTAAAAAGAGCACTCATCACAAGAAATTTACAGGCTTCTGTGGATCAGTTTTTGGCATTAATGGGCCATCCTGATGACTATGGAGGTCCACTAACTCATGTAAGAACCATTACATCATTTAGTAAACACTCGCAGTAGAATATACAGTCAGGAAGTAGTGATGTCAAACATCTTTTCCTGCCCAGTTGTTACTTGACAGAGAGGTTATAGTCTTTCAACTTGCAATTTCTAGAAAGTTTGAAGCTTAGATTGTGATCTCACAGGTTGTTGTCTCACAAGTTGAAGGATATGCATTTGCTGCTCCTTCTGTCATGAATGCTTAACTTCATTTGCAAGATGCTTTGAATATAGATTAAAGCCACTTATGATGCAGCTTAATCTTTTCCCTCCCTCTCACAAGTGATAACAGGACAGTCTTAAAGGAGAATTCAGTAGTCTAACCAAAGTTACTGAAGGACTAGTTTCGTGGGCCTCTTCAGTCATTATTTTTATTGCAGAAGCAAACCACAGAGTAGACCAGTAAAACATTTCTTTTATTTCTTTTGCAGTCTCTCACTCGTGAGTTCACACCACCCAAACCAGATCCTGCTCCCCTCCTTCACATTTGCAGGGACTGGGGAGTTCATCCTAAGAATGTTGTCATGGTGGGTGATCATCTTCATGATATTCAGTGTGGTAAAAGTGCAGGATCAGGTCAGCAAATGTGTTTTTTGTTGCTCAAACTGCTTGAATCATCAGGGGTTTTAATTAAACCAGTAACTGGCAGTCTATGTTCCCTCAGAATGCCTTCCACCTCCTATTGTCATATGAGATTCGTATAGCCCCTTTTGTCATCACAACCCCCTTCTCCACCACTGGCAGTCTCCTGTATAAAAAACTGCTGAACCCTTGTTTGTGCAAGAATCATTTATCATTCCTTTGGCAAGGACATTTAGCAATTACAGAGTTTAAAACTATTTCAAAATCCAGCCTCATTTTTGGTGCTGTTTATGACATGTTTTTAAATTGCAGGAATGATTCAGATAAGGTTTTTCCTGTGTTGTTGTAGCTGTGAGTGTTATGTTGAGTGTTATGACAATTGGTTTGAAAAAAAAAAATCTTTTAGTTTGGTACAAGCAAGTCTTATATACTGCTTATGTTTAGAGTCTACTTTTGAGATTTTCTCATTGTGACTTGTTTGTGTGTTTGTTTTTAAGTGACAATATTACTGAACGATTCAACTAATGGTGATTTCAAGAAGGATGCGGACTTCAATGTGGACTCTCTGAGTGAGATTATCACTTTGATTACCTCTCACGAGAGATTTTCTATCATCAGAGAAGATCCTAATACTGGAACATAAAAGAATAGACTCCTTCTTTTTTACCTCTGTTTAATAGGAATCTTGTAATTAGGAATAAAACCAGATGTAAAATCTTGAAAGGGCAAAATACTGCAACCAGTCGATGTTAAAAATAATGTCCTGCAGTCTCCAGTCTCCTTCGAAGGAGACTACAGCCATAATCTCAGCATCACGACAACTCAGTGTGAGAGGGGGTTACGTGTGGTGCCGTATCACGTAATCTTGCCAGCTTCTCTGCTTGTCGTTTTTGGAGATTAGGCCGTCTTCATTTTCATCGAGCACTCGAAATACGACCAGCTACGGAGCCAGTCTAACTTTTTCCAAATGTAAAATTCGATCTTTTGAATCTGGGTCTCGAAGGTCGCATAACCTTTCCGTTCTTCCCTCCCAGGTCCCCTTCATACACCAGCCATGCAGGCTTCTTTCCTGCAAAGCACTTATGGAGACGTGCGTTGAGCAAAACGCGCTCTTTTGACATCGTGAAAAAGGGGATAGGGTTTTCCAACCCTATCTCCTTTTTTCAGGGGACAGTGAGGAAAAAAAGGAGGATAATGGACGCTAGGAAGAGTACGTGTTCCCCCCCCCCTCCCCCCTTCCCCTTCCACTGCCACTTCAAAGTGACAGAAATTGTTCCCAGGAAAGTACATCAAAACGCGCAAAAAAGATATTGGAGCATGTCTAAATTTTCAAATTGGGGGAGGATGCCCTGAGCCCATTACATTTTACATTACAAGGAGAACAACGTCTTACTTCGAGCTCCCTTCAGACCATAAGATTCTCAACCAACGGAAAAAATGACGAATACGATACATTTAAATGAAATAGCAGATGCATTAATGATATGTACAGCAGTTCGTATTTCCATGAAACTCAAAGCCCATCATTAGGTTTCCGATCTGATAACTCTTCACCTAATTCATCGAGTGTGTTTATCGTCTTGACCAAGAAATGTCATCCCGTCACTCATAGTGTGCACTACAAACCATAAACCGCAGGCTGCTAAACATCACATCAAATTTCAACACAGAACCACCAGCCAATAAGTTGGTGTTCTCAAGTAAGTCGCGCAGCAGGAATGCAAACTAAAAATTTTTCACTGGAAGAGGGGTATGAATAGGTTAAGTTCTCGAGGCTAACATTCTCTTGCCAAATCGGAAGACAAGACTATAGCGATTTACCGATTTGTGGGTTAAAAGTTAAGACGCCAAACAAAACGAAATATTTCGCCATAGTTTTCAAAAATGTTTGTTAGTTCTCTCCATGGCTGGTGAACCAACTTATTTGGAACGAAGTGCCACTGAAGATTTGGAAAGACCTCCCCCCTCTTTTCTTTTAGTCTTGTTTTTAACCGACCTTTGCGCATGCCCAATGACTGCTCCACTGAACAAGTGTTGCAGTCCAACTGAAGTCCTGTTAAAGAAGAGATTCCATGTTGCCACGCGTTACCACATTTTGATGCCTTCTGTGATCTACTACTGTACAGACTCGCGGAAACTTGGAATTTATTTGTCCTATATAATAAAAAATGTCGTTTACAGTAACGTCATCTATGCAAGAACTGATCAGAACGCGCCGCAAAATTCAGCTTATCATATGATTCAGCTTATTTCATAATTACCTGTAACCAATACGCGTACTTCACGGAATCAGTGTAAACTATCAATGTATTTGTGTAAATAATGTGGAAGAAGAGAAAGCCTTTTGAAAGCCGGAAAAAGTAGCGTGAGTGATTGTTCCAACTAATTATCATTTGCATTATGCATGCGCAATTCACGATATTGGTGTTGAAACAATAACAAAAATTGGTGAATGCTCTGATTGAAAACGAGAAGCGTACAGAACAAAATTTACGAGTTGTGGAGAAAATCCTCAGCACCTCTTTCTCCGGTTCACATCATTGACCACCAAACGGTAGAAATAAGGTATAGTCACGAAAAATGTTCCTGATGCGATGAACTTTTTTAATATTATTATTCATGTTGCTCGCGAAGCTGGCTTGTAAACATAACCGAATGTCGATTTAACACTCTTACGTAACCTGCAAATATTTTAAGTAAATTTTGGTAAGAATCAATCAAACTGGAACGAAATATCACAAGGGGTTGGTAGCTAGAGGCAACAGCCTTGCTCAGGCGACATTACTTCGGGTGACTAAAAGCAATATCCTGTCATGTGTTACTCCTAAATCTTATCCCATTAGCCACTTTATTATGGATTACCTACGTTTAAAAATAAATGTCCCGTACATTATTTACGTTGCAGGAAAAATTATCCTGCATGATACCTTACTCAAGAATATTTAAAATCTACATTAGAAATAACATTGTCTTGCAAAGCATTCACCTTAGACAGCTGTTCGCTGTGGGAAATATTCATGTTGGAAATCTGTATGTTTTGCAAGTTCTTGTAAATTATGGAGGGGCGAAAAAAAAGTCTGGTTAACCACACTCGACATCTAGGAACTTTGGTTAGATTGGTTTGGTTTAGATAAACAAAGAATAAAAAAACCTTTTTAGCCTAATGAGCCTATAGGTAAATTAGAAGAAGGAAATTCGACTTAATCCACTTACCAGGCTGGTAAGCTTGCAAGGATTATAGGGAGTGAATTTGCGAGTCAAACATCTACGATTACTACACTAGAATCGAGAGTTTCGGTAATTTGTTCATTTAGCTTATGTTGTTTTTCTCAACTCAGTGTATGTATGGACGATTTCTTTAGCATTCAACATGAAGAGAGCAGCGCTGAGTCAGGTATTAGCACCCGGAAAGTTGGTATACAGTCCTCAGGAGACCGCCAAGTAAGTTCAAAAGGCGTTGATTGGTGGGGTCGGGGTTTAGTAAGTTCGTAACACACAGGATTTGTACATCCACCATGACACCACATGAACGTTTCTAACTGATATCATTCACAACCGATCGCGAGTGATAAAATTACGATCCATCTATTATTGTGTTCTAATCCTATGGTGGTCGTACATTTATTGGAGAATAATCTCGCGTCTTCTTCGTGATCGTATTTTCACATTTCTAGGCAGCGTTGTGAGAAACATTTCCTGTTGACCCTTATTTGGGGGATAGTCCCGTATTTGGGGAAGTCGTGACCCTTATTTGGAACCATGTGTTCCTTATTTGGGATAGTTAAATTCCGCGCCAATCCGCACACCCCGTATTGACCAATCATACCTCGAATTTTACCATACGTCATGGAAATCTCGTGACCGAACACGCTCGCTGGGGAAGACAGCAAAAAAAAAAAAACGATCATGACTTTGACTCGAGAAAATTTCGTCTTTCATCATGGAAGGAGGTTTCTTGTTTGATCCCTTGGACAATTCACGGTGTCTACACGCTGCTTTGACAGCTTAAGTGGAAATCGCTACCGAAGAATTCACGGGAATCGAATTTTAAAACTTGTTACAGAGATCATGTCAATTTCACGACCCCGAGTAACGAACGTCCGCGCCTAGAATACTTACCTGATTCGTAAACAAAGTTGATCGCTCAAGGAAGAAGGGACAGCACACTATACAGCTAGACTAAATGGGTCATAGCAAATTTGATGTAAGTTCAATACTTTCATTAGCGATCGAATGATGTGAAAACGCGATTCGACGTCAACTAAGCTTGTTATATAACTATTGTTGATCCTTTTATCATAGGCATCTTTGGTGAAGGCCTTCGCCGCCGGATCTTTGAGCGGCACTTGTTCTACTCTGTTATTTCAACCATTTGATCTGGTAAAAACTCGTTTGCAAGTGGAAGGAACGGCTTTATCTTCTGCTGGACGGCTTAAATTAGGGTAAAAATATCTTTTTTTTTTACTAAGAAATTTTTTTATTTTGCTTTTAATGTAAAACCTGTTTGAGAAGAGAGACTTCGAAACGAGATCTGGTTTTACAGGTCACTGAAAACAGGGGCTTGAAGCACTGATTATCTTGTTACAATTCCTTGACAGCGGAAGCAATGGCATGCTTTATACGTTTTACTCAGTGGCTCGAAGAGAGCATATTGTTGGACTCTGGAGAGGACTTGTTCCGGTAAGGCACATTAGAGCCTTCTGGCATTTCGCTTTCTGTACTCTGTAACTTTGGACCAAGATTTATGTGTTAAACATTTTTCCTAGGCATTGTCAAGATGTGTCCCTGGAATTGGATTGTACTTCAGCGCTCTTCATGGTTTGTCACAATTTACTAGGTAAGTTTACTCTCTGCAGACTCCCAGTTCAGTCCAAGTTTACTCCAAGAGTTAAAAACCAGCACCTCCCCTTTTCCAGCATCAGTACCTTTTCAGTACTAAACCTGTAAAGACAGCATGGTTAAGGATTTTGGGGTACACAGTTCTTGTTCAGTTTTCTTGAACATATATGATGTTACAAAGCACAGTGGTCAACGCCTCTATAGAGGGGGATTCAATCAAACATTTATGACTGTCTTTTGAATGGAAGTGTCCCAGCTGATAAGTTCTTTTGTATGTACTTGTAGAAAAATTGTGTTAAGGGTTCAAAATGACCAAGGGTATTGCTTCACTTCATTAGATGCTTATGCCTAGCACTTAGATTCCACGTTACATTGCTTGTATGTTTTCAAAGATAATTGACAGCATGATTGGAGTGTCAAAGAACACAATGCAGTGTCTCAGGCTTGAGATGAAAATTCAACCTTTTGATCTGGAGTCCAGGGTGCTAACCCTTTATTTTAATTCTTGCAAATGATAAAATGATACAAATACTGATAGCTTATTGATTATAGTCTATGTACCATTCTTCACTGTTTGACAGTCAACATTTGGAACTTTCTTGCAGTGAGGAAAGAACCTTGGGAGAATCAGTTTTATTAGGAGCAAGTGCCAGAACAATAGCAGGAATCACCCTCTTGCCAGTTACTGTAGTGAAAACTAGATATGAGGTGTGTTTTCAAGCTTTTCTAACAAGTCTGAGTACCTGTCTTTGGATGCTTAGTCTCATTTACTCAAATTTGGCTGAAGTAAAAAAAAAATTGATAACTTGCACCAAGTTATTGCCTTTTTTCTTTAATTATAGAGTGGATTTTATAGCTACAGCAGTATGTTGGATGCAATGACATCAATCTGGAGGAGGGAAGGAGGAAAAGGTATGTTGCAGTAGGCAGGCATGTAATTAAAAGCAGTTTAGCAGTGGTTACCACTGTTTGCAAATCCCTGCACGGTCTCTTACTCCTGACCATTGACCCTTTGACCCCAAAAAGTGACTAGCATCAAAAATCTCTTTACATTATCACCCTTAAATCAAAAATTATGATTGCAAAAATAAATGAAATTATCATCCACTAAAAGAGCTCTTGACTGTCTTACAAATTCTCCTTTTTAGCATGTTAGGAAATGTAAAGAGAACAGTGCGAAGTATATGCATATTGATGTTAAGACATGAAGGGTCAAAGGGCCATCTTTTACCAGCAAAAGCCCCTACTAAAAAGGGATTATTATACCCTTGAATGGATTCCTGAAGTTTTTACATGATTAGATTTTATTGCTCAAGGAAAATATTCTCATAAAAGGAAAATAATACTCCCTTTCTTTCATTTCAGGTTTATATAGTGGGTTGCTGGCAACTGTAGCACGTGATGCCCCATTTTCAGGGCTTTACTTGATGTTTTACACCATGATAAAGAGACAAGCAAAGAATGGTGAGCAAATAATTTTTCAGGGAGCTTCAGAAGATAATAATATTTCTGATTTTCAAAGCTCCTTGAAAGTTGCATCAATGAGGACATACTTTTTAAGCCTGTATTGGTCATGCAATTTTCAGCAAATAAATTCCCAGATTTTTACAGGAATTGGCTGACTGATCAAATGAAATTTCTCTCTGCTAATTACTAGGACTCCTTCATTTGTCGTGAAATTCACTCATTAAAAAGAGACAGTGAAATAAGAAAAAGTTTTTTTAAAAAGATTTACTCTGTAGGTGAATTTCTTGGAACAGTGTGGTTAAAATAAATCTCATTCGTTTGCAAAATTTTGGGACAACTGCATTAAACAAAATGTCAGAATGATTATCGTAGTGAGTGGGATTTTTCCTTTCTTTTTTCTGTGGCTTTTACAAGTCTTTTCAAAGTATATGATTTTTTCCTTAAATTTGCTTTTCCCTTTAGGACTTGGTACACCAGAACTCCATGCATTTGAGACTTTCATATGTGGTTCTCTGGCTGGAGTCATAGCTTCAGTTGTAACACAGCCTGCTGATGTGGTGAAGACAAGACTTCAATTGTTTCCACACAAGTATAACAGCACAGGCAGTGCAGTCTATTGTATATTAAAGGTGAGAGTAAGTTGAAAGATCAAATGCTTGCTACTCCTCTACTTTTTACCTGCTGTAATACTCTTCTGATTCATTGTTCTCCCTCACTTTAAGCACAACAGGTAAAATAATTTTCAAAGTGGTGGACCGATTGTTTTACCAGTTGAACTACAAGAATTCCAAGCAATTTTAGGTTGTAATAAGGGGTAGTTCAGGCAGTAACTCTACTGGATACCACCTGAAAAGGAGAATGTCTGTAATTGTTGGATGCAAGTCAGTTGGTCATTTTCTCTTTCAGCTGTGATATAACTTTTCAATCTGGAAGTCCACATGTATTCCTTTGAAAATTTAGATTAAAGCTATGTGTACTTTTCATGATGACAAATATTTTTAATTCATTATTTTATTTTTCTCTTTAGACAAATGGAGTATTTGGACTCTTCAAGGGTCTAGTTCCCCGCTCAGTGAGAAGAACTCTCATGGCAGCTATGTCATGGACTGTTTATGAAAGAGTATGTTGATCTAATGATGAATTGTATTAAAGATTTTAAGCTAAGTTCTCTTGCAAGTTTAACAAACTTTAAGTATCCTGAAAAGGATAAAATCCATTTTCACAGTAATTATCCAAATAAAACCTGCTGCCAGGGTTAAACAGATCTCAGGTGCTTTTGTCACTGAGGTTTTCTTCAAGTTTGAAAATAATTGAAGTTGAAGAAAGTGGAGATTATAAAGGATATGTTTCTTCTGTCCTACCTTATGGGGCTTGAGTTGATTACTGTCCGATGTCAGGGTATCTAGATTATAAATTTCAGACAACTTATCATATTATTATTTTCACATAACACAGACTCACTGCATTTAGTCCCAATAAGTCTAACCGCAATAAAATTTCCATTAGCTACACTTCCTAGAGTCTCTCAGGAGCCCTAATGACAGGCCCAAATGTAGAACATATACATTGGGGTATGTTGGCTTGTATGATTACGGAAGTAACAAGGAAAGTCAATCAGCTCCATGCTCCCATTAAAACCCTGGCCCTCAAGCATTCTATAATGTACCTTCTTGTGTGTGATTGCATTCCTTATGTTGTATATTAGTGAAGAGAAACCTTAATTGAATTATTTTGTTATAATAACTAGCATAACTATTCATAAGCTTTTATTTATTTCTTCTCTTCAGCTTTCAAGAGAATTGGGATTGATCACCTGATAATGGCAATGAAAACAGTTCACCAGGTGTAAGGTTACTTT